CTCTGAGGGTGACGGAGCCCTGGCCCAGGCTGCCCAGGGAGGCTGTGGAGTCTCCTTCTCTGGAGATATTCAAGCCCCCCCGGGACAAGGTCCTGTGCAGCCTGCTCTGGGTGCCCCTGCTTTGGCAGGGGGTTGGGCTGGGTGACCCACAGAGGGCCCTGCCAACCCCTACTATTCTGTGATTCTGTGATTGACTTTGAATTTCACGCCTTTTGATTTAAACGGTAGCTTTTTTGCCAAAAATGTATTTAAATTCATCAAAATTTGCGTGGCACCTATTTCCTAGGTACGAACAAGATCCGTTGGTGAGTGTGTAGCATTTTATTACATGTGGAAGAAATCAGAGCGTTACGATTTCTTTGCGCAGCAGACCCGATTTGGAAAGAAGAAATACAATCTTCATCCTGGTGTAACGTAAGACGTGCATTATTTTTATGTGCTTTTACACGTTGGATCTAAATCTTTATTTTATACTGCTCTAATCTGAAATAATACGACAACCTGGGCATTCCATAGTCCCAATTTGCAGCAGGAAAACAGCCAAGGTGTAAGAAAAGCTTAGCAGTGCGTGTAATGTAATTTCTGAAAGGCATTTATTTGGAAGAAGGCCAACAATTTGCATTGCACAGCTATTTAATTTAGTTTGCTTTCTGTTGAAATGCTTCACGAATGGAACATTTCTGCAAACGTGTGGAATTGAAGTGCTTGTTTTACTTCAAATACGTGTTTGATGCAGAGGCGTCCGGCGCAGGTTTCGGGTGGGATTTGTGGTAGGTGCTGCGGTGTACTCTGGAAACGTGTTGTCTGACAAGAATTCTGGCCAGCCCAGTGCCCTGTAGTAGGGCTGCTCGGGGCGTGTGTGGCTCCCTTCCCCGTTCACATCTCCACTGGGCACGGAGGGGAGCGTCTGCGCGGGTCTGTGTCTCCTCCTCCCTCAGATCCGAGCGAGCGAGCCAGCACGTGCTTCTGCCCGTCATTCGATGCTGTGATTTTAGTGTCCCACGCTTTCCGATGACTTCTTCCAAGTCTTTTTACTAGTATTTTTATTTCTCATTTGTTCCTGGCTTCTCTTTTGATCCTTCTTTTTAATATTATTGTTTCTTTAAACGTTTTAGAGCTGTGTGTTGGACCACTGAAGTGAACTTGCAGTGTGCCATTAAGAGTTGCCGTCCGTGGCTTTGTGAAGGAGACAGAGCAGCACCCTGAGCTGCTGGATTCTCTTAACCAGTAGTCAGGGACTGGTCTTGTCTCCCCCTCTTCTACCATCTGGGGTTTTTTCTCTGTTTTTGCCCAAATTAGTAGACGGTTGTTAATCACTTAAAACGTTCTCTGATTCTTCTGCAGTTGACTGCATGTGGTGATCAGAAAAAGTGTCCTTAAGGATTGTACAGAATCACAGAATCACAGAATCACACAGAATAGTAGGGGTTGGAAGGGACCTCTGTGGGTCATCTAGTCCAACCCCCCTGCTGAAGCAGGGTCACCTACAGCAGGCTGCACAGGATCTTGTCCAGGCGGGTCTGGAATATCTCCAGAGAAGATATTCAAGATATAGTACTTGTCTGTTCTTGAATGATTTTGCAGATAGATGTGGGAATTTAGGGTGCAGTATCAGTTCCAGAATAATTATGTGTGAGGATGTGCTGTTTCTGGAGCTCATCCAGACTCACAGCATACGTGCAAGGGCTTTGCCAACCAGCTTGGTTTAAACCTTTGGTAAGAGATTTACTATTAGTGACCTAAACTGTGGGACCATAGTAAATGTCAGATATGAAAATGTCTGTCACTCTGAGGTTTTCCATTCACTTTTAACTGTACCCCTTGCAAGCCATATGTGCACAAAACCTGCTTTAACGGGGCGTTATCGCTGCTGCAGCAAACTGCAGGAGCTTGGCGTGCACCCACCTGAGAGCATCGCCTTGAAAACGCGGCCCACGGCAGCACAGCCTAGTGAACTTTCCACTTGGCCGTGGTCTTACGGGGCTTAGCGTGAGCACAGGATGGATTCTCATGAGCTGGTGGCTGCTCATCAAACACGTAGCTGCTGTGGTCAGACCTGAAGTGGGCCAGCTAACACAGGAGACCTTAATGTCGTTGACTTTGCAAGAGAAGTCTGTGCATTTCAAAGGACACAAAGTGTGAGCTGGTCACACTTGCAGTGTGTGCAGGGAGTGTTTTTGTACAAATAACACCAATCCTTTACGCAGCAAGGGCAATGCTGAATGTGCTGTTCCTGTCGTGTTGTGCTGTTCCTGTTGTGTAGGGATTATATGGACCGTCTCCTGGATGAGAGCGAAAGCGCAGCCTCCAGCAGAGCCCCGTCCCCTCCTCCCACAACTTCCAACAGCAGCACCAGCCAGTCGGAAAGGGAAGACAGCACAACCAGCAGCAGCAATCAGAATGGTAAGCACGTGCAGTGTCACTCCTGAGCAGTGGCCGATTCATTGCAGGTGACAAGCCAGATAAGGAATCAGGTCTATTTTAGTTTTAAGCATTTTCCAAGGTGTTAGCAGCTGTAAGTTAATGCTTTTTAAAAAAAGCTATATTTGCACGTAGCCAGTGGTCCCGTATTGAAGCTAAATCTCCGCTAGACTCTTCAGTGTAAGCAATCTGTTCCAGCCTTCCCTGCCCTAGTGCAGGGTAGTGCTGACTTTGTGAGGAGTCCCATGCAGGACGTTTAAAACAGCCAAGGTGGGGACTGTCATGCAGCCCACTGGAGCTTCTCCGGTGCTTGGCTCAGGAGCACCGTTAACTGTTCTGAGCAGACGTGGGGCATTGAAGGGCAGCGAGGAACGGGAGAAGAATCATAGAATCATAGAGTGGTTTGGGTTGGAAGGGACCTTAAAGAGCACCTGGTTCCAACCCCCCTGCCATGAGCAGAGACATCTTCCAGCCCGGGCACTGTCCCTCCTGAAGGAAGGAAACCTCAAAATCAAGGGACAGCCATTCCAAAGGAGCTGAAGTAAAATCAGTAGCCAGGGGAGGGAGGAGCCTGGGGGCTGAAGGAGGTTGTGAAAATCGAGTGGAAGCTACAGAAGCTGCCCAGGTGAGGGCAGTCCACCCGCAAGCTTGTACAGTTAGGGGATTCTGGATGTTTTCTTGTCTGCTCTTGCTTGTGAGGGCTTCCATAAACCCCACCGTGATAAGTCCATCACTCGTATGCAAATAAATTGCTCGTTTGAGGATACCGGGGACAGTACCGGCTTTGATGGGCCCCGTTAGCCTTGTGCTTGTTTTTTTTTATGGGACTCGTTAGCCTTGTGCTGGTTTGAGCTGTGGCGGGTGGCTCTGCGGCTGCGTGCGCCTCCGGTCCCTTTCTTAGGGTGCGTCTCTCCGATGCAGGGGTGTCTGCCACCGGGCCGGGGGAGCCGCCGAGTAAAGACGAAGCAAAATCGGAAGGACTGCATGTAAACGGACCCAGCAGCGGCAAGAAAACGCCTCACGTGGATCCAGATACCAATGGGTATGAAACTGAAAACCTTGCTGTTGACCCAAAACTTGCTCATTCAGCATCAAGAAACGAAAATGATTTTGAAGATAAAAATGAAAGACCTCTAAAAAGAAGAAGAGTTAACAGCAGCGGCAAAGAGAGTCCGGGATCTTCAGAGTTTTTCCAAGAAGCAAACTCGCATGGGAAGCTTGAGGAGCTCGAAACCTTGGATGACTGAATTACTAGGAGCTGATTTTATTCCTCGGAGTAAATTTTGGGTGTCTAAAATTTTCAGGGTTGATGGGTTACCTTACAAAATCCCGTTCCGCAAAACAATCTGCTGAGATTTTTTTTCTAATACCTTCTGGTTGGCTCTTAGGATCTGATCTTTTTTTGTTGTTTTTTTTTTTCAGTGCTGAAAAGCAGCAGGAGAATATTCCCTTTCTCAGAGCTGGCGACTCCAGTTCTGGGAACTCTTAAGGCTCTTAAAAACGTTTGAGAAACAAACCAGTGAGTTTCTGCAAAAATACTCCCGGCCTAATACGTTAAAGAAACTCCTGTGTGTAATCCGGTAGTTAAGCATCGTACAAGCGAACAAAGCATCCTAGTTGAAGCAGGGGGCTGGTTCCGATGTTGGAGGAAGCCGAAACGAGATGCGGCACGCCGAGACGCGCGTCAGAGTAGGCACAGAGACTTCCACTCACGCTAGCGAGAGCAAAGCGTCACCCCGTTGTTAAGGAACCCTTATGAATCCTGAAAGTTATGAGCACAACTATTTTTATATATAGAAGTTTTAAAAGGTAAATAACTAAACCAGGTCAGGTTTGTCTATGTAAAATTGTTGACATCAATGATGTCTTTCCATATTCTTTATCTGGGCTAAAGAAATACGTTCTGTATTTTTCCAGATTTCTTTGTAGCCTTTGAAAGATTTTTACAGTACTTAACGTCTCGATCGAACTGTCCTTTCTTAAAACAAAAGCTTGTATAATTTTCTTAACTTGTACAGTTGGTAAACTTTTATGAGAGAATTGATACCCTGAGTCTAATGTCAGCTTCATTTTATTTTGCTGAAGTCTTTTCTAAAAAAAAGAAACCAACAAAAAACCCCCAAAAGACCAAACCAACTGACTTAACAAATGCGCATTGGTCACCAAGGTGTTACTTTCTTCTCGGAAAACAGTAAACATTTCACGTCAGGAGTGCTTAGAAGTCATTTGATTTTGAAAACATGGCTTTTTTCGTACTCCTGTTTTACGGCAAATAGCGATGCTAAAAACTCGCGACGCGTGCTGCTCGCGTCGCACCAGCTCTCTTGCTGTCATCACGCATCTTCTCATTTGATCTGAGCTCGGACAAACGTCACGTCAGCCGCGTGCCGGCGCTCCCCAAGCTGAGGTGCTGGGTTATCCCTTGGTACAGACAGTCTGTCTGTCTGTCCTTCCCCGCCTCGCTGCGCGGGCAGGGGAGCGGGCGGCGGGGCT